CCCCCCACATACACACGCAGATATGTGTCGGGTGCGCCTACGTGTGAAAACGACAATTGAGCCTATTGTGCGGCAGATGTTACATATCGCAGCGCACGTCGCAGTGAGAGCAATCATTTTAGGGCCATTCATCACCGATAACACTAAACTGATGAGCGTTAAAACGGTTTAAAGCGTCGCCTATGGGCAATCTTCAGTGTGGTCGTTTTTTTTTTTTTGCAATTTTAAAGCTGGACATGTTCGGTGTCTATTTATCCGACGTGACCCCCGACTTTTGACTTTTATGTTTTAGCAAAAATATGGGTGAGAATTAGGGATGCACGGATACTTTTCGAGTACCAGTGCCAACAACCAATAATAAAATATAGAGAATGAACTGCGCCAATAAGCAAGCTAACAGCTACAAGGCACTGGAATGTACACCCGCTGTGAGCGTGTATACGTGAAAAATGAATAACTACCGTATTTTGCGGTCTATAAGACGCTCCGGACGATAGGACGCATGGCTTCTGTGACAGAAATTCTATGACAGAAATTGTCACAGAAGCTGCAGTTAGTGACTGCTGAGACAGGTGGCGCTGTCTCAGTAATCACGTTCTTCGTCTGCTCAATGGGCTCTATGGTGAGCTCCTATGGGGGATCGTGACGGGTCACAGTCCCGCAGAGGAACGGGGGACCCAGAAAACCTCGGCGGGGGGCGGACACTATCGCCGATGCCGCCGCCGCTCGATTTAATACAAGGGATCTACTTAGATCGCTTGTATTAAACGAACAGCGGCTCCCACTGTACATTCAGCTCTGCTTGTCAGGAGCAGGGCTGAATGTACAAAAAGAAACTACTCGCCCGGCGCCCGAAACTGCATGTCCCGGGTGTCGGGCGATAGGTATTCGCTCCATAAGACGCAGGCACATTTTCCCCCTCCTTTTGGGGGAAAAAAAAGTGCGTCTTATGGAGCGAAAAATACGGTAAATGTGCCGAGCTAAAACAGCCGCAGAGCATTTGACGCTACATTGATCTCTACGACTGATGGCCGCAGTCATTTGAAACTATGTTTGAGTCACTGTGTTTTTATTGTTTTTTACTCTTTATATCTGATCATTGTTTTAGCTCGGCACATTAAGTTATTCAGTGCCAACAACCAGTGACCACAAACATTTCTCCGCGCTGAGACGAAAATAGACGATTGTGCCGCTCGGAATTCTTTGCATCGGTTTAAAGAAAACAAAAACGCAGATTTCATTTCCTGAATAGTTGAGCGATAGCGGCGGAGACTTCCTGTCATTGTGCAGAGTCAGCAGCGAATCAAACAATTCGCAATGGCAGATCAGAAGTTCTCGTCTTGTACTTTTGTGTGCAACAAAAAATCTGCGCTTTTGGAAAGTAAACTAAAAGTCAAAATAGTGATCCTAAAGCTGCTATGAAAGGTGTAAAGTGAAAGTGTTGCCACAGCGCTAAAGGTTTGAGATAAATATAAAAATATGTGAATATATATGGATCAAAACATGAGTGACAACCCTGTGTATAAGTCTTCAAAAAAACCTACCAATATGAATATAAAGTACCAAAAAACAGGTGTCCATAAAGAACTGAAAAAGTGCTGATGTGCAAACAATCAAAAGGGAAGCTACATTCCTCAATAAGATAAGTGAATAAATGTAACAGGATATCACACTATAAAAATCATAAAACTAAGTATATCGAAGTGAACTATAAAAAAATTATTTTTTTTTAAAACAGTACAGAGATCATATTTCTATGATCTCTGTCCCATGTTGGACGGGAATCTTGCTGGAGCTTCTCTTCTATTATTTTGTATTTGGGGGATTATAAGGTCTCGGTGTATTTTTCTTTCCTGTAGAAGTTGATCCGTCTGTGCGGAGAGGTTTTGGCCAACCCGACGGAGAATGAAGAGATCCAGTTCCTGGGTATCGTGTGCTCCAAATTAAAACAAGACCCGTACCTGGTCAACTTCTTCCTGGAGGTCAGTTCCGGGGTCGTCTGTATCGGCATTTCTAAAATTTGTTGAACTCTGAACTGTCTGAAGTGCATGGAGCAGCGGGGGAGGGTCTGTACTCTGATATCAGGACGATCACTGTACAGATGTATTTTTATCTCTGGGGGGGGATCTAATTTCTTACCATTTCCAATAATAAAGTAATATTGGCGCAATCACAAGAAATAGTGATGAATCCGATTGAATATATAATGAGCCAATATGAGGTGATGACGGTCATAGAATTATATCCTGGATGTATAAATGATACTTATAAGTGTTGGAAATACAAAGGCCTGTGCGGATATACACTGATTTGTATTACTGACATTCAGGAATGTAATATTGTCTTTTGAGCACTAGGTGGCGCTGTAGTGCAAGTCTAGTCCATGCTGGTGTTCTATACGCTTCTCTCTATGATGTATATGTTTCCTGGTGATGCCGTATTCCTGTATACATACATGTAACGTTCTTATAAGCCAGTGAAACTTAATTAAAGGAGAACTATGG